GGACAGCATGGTTGATTCCAGGTTCTTGCTATTGTGAACAATGCTGTGATAAACATACGTGTGCAGGTATCTTTTTCATAGAGTGATTTGTATTTTTCAGGGTATATTCCCAGTAGTGGGATTGTGGGGTCATATGGAAGGTCAATATTAAGAGCTTTTAGGAATTGCCAAACTGTTTTCCACAGAAGTTGCACTAGTTTGCACTTCCACCAACAGTGTAGAAGTGTTCCCTTTTTACCACATCCTCTCCAGCATCTGTTTTTTTTTGAGTTATTGATAACTGCCATTCTGACTGGAGTTAGGTGGTATCTCAGTGTGGTTTTGATTTGCATCACCTTGTTGATTAGTGAGGTTGAACATTTCTTAATGTGTCTGTTGGCTGCTCAGATGTCTTCCTTTGAGAAGTGTCTGTTCATATCTTTTGCCCACTGTATAATGGGGCTGTCTGTTTTTTCTTTTCAGCATGTTTGAGTTCCTTGTAGATCCAGGATGTTAAGCCTTTGTTCGACCTGGAGTTGGAAAATACTTTTTCCCAGCCTAGTGGGCTGTCTCCCTGCTCTCTTGATGGTTTCTTTGGCTTTGCAGAAGCTTATCAGTTTAATGAAGTCTCACTTGTCTATCTTGTCTCTTATGGCCTGTGGGTTTTGGGTTTTGTTCAGGAATTGGATGCCAGTTACAATTTCCATAAGTGTATGTCCTGTGTTTTCTAAGGTTCTTATGGTTTGAAGTTTTATATTTAGGTCTCTAATCCATTTGTAGTTAATTTTTGTGTATGGGGATAGATAGGGGTCTTGTTTGAATCTTCTGCATGTGGTCAGCCAGTTTTCCTAGCTCCATTTACTGAATAGGTTCTCCTCTCCCCAGTGGTAGGTGGTGAAGGCTTTGTTGAAGATGAGTTGGTTGAGAAATTGAGGTGTGCTTCTGGAATCTCAATTCTATTCCATTGGTCTATATGCCTGTTCCTGTACCAATACCAAGCTATTTTGATTATTGTAGCTTTATAGTAAAGTTTGAAGTCTGGTATTGTGATACCACCTGTTTTGTGTTTTTGCTAGGATTTTTCTGGCTATTCTTGGTCATTTGTGTTTCCATATGAATTCCTGTATTGTTTTTTCTAGGTCTGAGAAGAATGTTGCTGGTATTTTGATGGTTATTGCATTAAATCTGTAGATTGCCTTAGGTAAGATGGACACCTTCACAATGTTGATTCTTCCAATCCATGAGCATTGGATATTTTTCCACTTGTTTGTGTCATCTTTGATTTCTTTGAGCAGTTTTGTAGTTTTCATTGTAAAGGTCTTTCACTTTTCTGGTTAGGAAGATGCCAATGTATTTCATTTTTTTGTGGCTATTGTGAATGGAATTGTGTTTTTTATTTGGGTTTCTGTTTGTTTATTATTGGTGTATAGAAATGTGATTGTCTTTTGCACCTGTGTTTTATATCCTGAGACTTTACCAAAGGCCTTTATCAGTGTAAGGAGGTTTTTGACAGATTCTCTTGGGTTTTCAAGGTACACAATCATGTCATCTGCAAAGAGAGATAACTTGACTTCCTG